AATGATCAAATTTATTAGTCACTTGAATATTCATATTGAATAGGCTGTGTGCAAAAACAACTGGTGTTTTATACAAATTTTACTTATATAATCTAATTATAAAAATGTGGTATTACTATATTTTATAGCTCATATCTACTTAAATCTAATAATCCAATTTCTTACTTTTTACAGATTACTGATAAAGATTGTACACCGAAGAAGTATATTTGTAGGGTATGCTATGAGCAAGTTGAAGTTAATTTCAGGTTTGCAACTACATGTCGAATAAATAATGCAAAACATAAGGAAAACTTAATAAATTTACCATCAAATAATGCACTCAAAACAGAATATAACAGATTTATGAAAATACCTATTCATGCTTTGGTAATATCAAATTTATACTTAACTGTATTAAATACATTTTAATTATAAATATTATTTAACTAAGAATCAATTATTAATTTGATTTTGATTTTATAGTTTAATAAATACCAATTTGATTCGAAGGGTTTGTTTAATGCAGTAACAAGCTATTTGAATAATTATAATGAAGATTTAAGTTCAACTCAAAATTTTGACCAATATTTTGGTCTTAATAACCACAATGGGTTAGTATTAGCTTAAATATTATAATATGTATTAAAAAAATAAATAACTTTAACTTAATAAGTTTTTTTCTGAATGGTGGTATAAATCGGTTGTGAATTTGAGTATTTTATTTATTTAAAGTAAAAAATAATATGCATAATTATAATAATAAACTAAAAAAATATATTTATTTATTATTTATGTTTTTTTTTTAGTGAAATTTATAAATTTAATATTTAACAAATAGTGTATATTTGGAAAATATTTTTAAGAAATTATACCTACAGTAATGATGCTTGATATATTAGCTTATATTTAGATACCTATTATACCTTATAGAGTGCTTATTTCTCATAAATACAATATTAATATATTTATTTTTTTTTTTTGTTATAGGCATACAATTTAAACAATTTTATTTATATTAATTTTTGTACTTATTAATTATTATGTATTGTTTCATAGTATTACAAATCATTCACATATTGAAAATGATAATCTTGTTGGTAATGGAATTCCAAAAAGCTCTCCAGTACTTGAAGTAAATTTGTCTAATGTGTAAGTAGATTATACAATTGTATTGATTATTCTACAATGGATATTGTTTATAATCATTAGTTTTAAGGTGTAAATGTGCATTAAAATAAATTAAGTAAAACTTAATAATTAATATACTATCAACAATGATGCCGAACTTACACATGAATTGAAGTGATCGCTGCATATATATGTTAGAATTATTTAATATTATCATAATATATGTTAAAATCCTCAGTTGGTGGATATGTAAATATTTTGATTTTTCTTCTCTTAAATTTATATAACTTGGCATCACTGACTATCAGTGTTAAAATTACCTCATTATAAAATGATAATATTATTATATTACATTACTAGCTGATCTGGCAAACATTATTTTGCCACATAAATAGCATGATTGTCTCTTTGTAATTTGTGCATGTGTGATTTGAATAATTTTAACAATTCATTGTTCTCATTTAATAAAGCGTCCAGATCATCGATAATGCATTTATCAAAAAGTAAATTAAGGTTATTATAGCTACAACATGCACCCACGCGTTTGGCAAGGACGCTATCGGAGTCCTCTCCATCCAAAAAGTAAATTTGTAAAAATGTATGTGGTTCGTTTGGAATTAATAGCTATGAGCCCACTTATGATAAACTTTGCCTTTGATTTTGAATGTTGAATGAAATTGTTGACCATTTGGAACATTATTTTTTAATTATTTCTGTTGTTCCAAACTATATCATTTGGAAACATGAATTGACTTCAGGAACAGGTTAGAATTGGGATCCATACTGATAAGTAAGCTATTCAATGGTGTAGGTAGTGTTTCAATTTCTGGTAGTTGCACTTAACCTGACGCACAACACATACCGGGGTTCATTTCTGAATTTAAACACCTTACAATGCGGACATTCCTTATCCATAGCACCAATCTTCACTTTAAATTGAGCATAATATTTAATATCAGACCCATACTTAAATGCTAGATAACAGAATAAATTGGATGTAAATGTTGATGTACAACAAGTACAAGTTGACTTTCAGTATCATGTGCACTGTACCCAATAAAGTTTGTTTTACTTATAAAATACCATACTTAAGTAATTAATTTTTACCTTTTCTTCGTTTTTCATTAATAATAATTGATGAGAGTTAATATAAATTTAATATATCAACTTTTTTTTTTTTTATTGAGCTCAGTACATACATATGTATACTGTATATAATATATATATATATATTGTATACAAAATATTAAACAATCAAATACTATAAAAAAATTAAGTATAAATTACTTATAGAGACTATTTAGCAGTTGATTACTAACAGTTGACATTTTAATAACATTAAATTGATAATAGTTTTTGTATAACATCTTAATATTATTATTAAAAACAAAAAGTGTCATAACTTAATTTTTGAGATTAATGTTTTTACACATATTTTCATTTTTATTTCTTCTGTAATTTGAAGTTATTAGGTTTGTTTAAACTAAAATTTGTTTGATGTTAATATTTTAATACATTTTTATGTATATATATATATATATATTTTTGTAATGGAATAAATAATGCGAACAATAACAGGTTTGCCATAAATAATATAAATCAATCTAGTACAAACATTCCTATTATATAAGGCTTTATTAGTTAATATCTGTAGATATAGATAGCCTATGACTAGAAAGGTCTTATTTTGTTTAATAATAAAAAAATAATAAAAAAATAAAAAATAACATTACTAATTAGAATTATTAAGTTTAAATAGATTGGTATAAGTATTTTTTATAATATAGATACCACATATAATTTTAAAACATTTTAAATATTAAAAAAATGTTAATTATAATTAACCATCTTTATTTATTTTAAAAATATTCATTTTACACAATTTATTATTCAATAACAATATTTTCTGTGGTTTTTTTGGATTCAATATTTTTATTTTTGAGTTATGAAAAATTTTAAATAGTTACACACTTATAATTTGTTTCAAAATTAAAAATTTTGAATAACTACTTACACCAAACCATAGAAAATGCTCCCCTTAAAGTTTAATTATGAGTAAATTTATTCTAATCTTAAAACTAATGAATCTAAATCTTAGTCTAAAATTGCTTAATGTACTTTTACTATGTTATGATGTAATGTAACAAAATTACAACATATTGTTGGAGAGATATCTTCATAATTATTTTAAATATTTTTACTATATTTTTTTTTTTAACTTGTGTTTTAAAATCAATATTGCTTAAAAAATATGAACTAGAAAATTAATTTATTATATAAAGCAAATAAAAATATTTTAGTTACAGTAGAACCTTTCTAATCCGTCACCTTCGGGACTGGGGCTGTGGTCGGAATGCGAAAAAGGTCGGATTATTAGAATATACAGAACATTTTTTTATTTACATATTACATACAAGATTATATCAGAAATTTATTATATTTTACATTACTTAGAAAAAATGTCAGTTATAGATTTTTGTTTAGCAAATGTCATTCTAGACTTAACTGCAATATTCCAAAATACGCACACTGATAGAAACGATACAAGAGAGATCGGAGTACTAAAGCGGACAAGCGATAAGGGAAATATTAAACTAGCAATTAATTTTATATAATATTTTCTATAAAGTAGAAGATCCAAATTGTATTTTTAAATTACATAGTATTCATATCAATTATATTATGGTTGGATCAACCGGAGTGGCGGACCAGCCAAGGGCAGATGAAAGGGGTTCTACTGTATTTGTATTTTGAACGAGAACGAAATATTAATTTTTTATTATATTTAATAATTTTTTTTATTTTAATTTGATTCATGAAAATTTATAAAATATTATATTTAAACATTATATATATATATATATTATTTGAAAATTAAATGAAAAATAAATATGATTAAAATTGAAATATTTATTTAGTACTTAAATCAGTGATTTTCAACTGGTGTGTCGCTGCACACTGGTGTGCCGCGAGCGCCTTTAAAATGTGCCGTGATAAATCTATTAATGGAGTTAGTTTTGTATATATGTATAATATTATGTATTATATATAAAAATATATGCTTCATGTATTATATGAATTGGTGTGCCGCAAAAATTTTGTAGAAGAAGTGTGCTACATTGTTAAAAAGGTTGAAAACCACTGACTTAAATAATAATTTGAAGAGATAATACAGTTTTAAAAATATTTTTCCACTAAGATATTTTTTGGCAATTCAGTTCTTCTTTTTACTATTTTTTTTTTTGTTTAAGTTAATAACATTTTTGTTTTTGAGTAAAATCAAATAAATATAAGGTTCCTTACAAGTATAAGCATTAAGATTTAAATTGTTCATCAATGCATAGAATCATTTTTGTATATAATTTGATCATTGAATTCAAATTTAACATTAATTATTGTGATTTACTGAATGACTAGCTTAAAACCTATTAGGTAGGACAAACAAGTTTGCCGGTTTTACATTTTTATTTTATATGTAACAAAAAGAATTTCCTTAAATAACAAATTTATAAGTGAGTAAAACAACAAATTGGAGTTGCATAGTTATAAACTTAAATTTTACTTTTAGAAAAATCTTTAAATGATACTCAATTTAATATTATAATGTTGATAGTTAATTAAGAACTAATAATCAGGACAAGTGAAATTCACTTTATGTTTTAATAATAGTATTTTATTTTATAAATAGTAATATATTTTGATAAAGTATAATTAATTATTATACATATAGATAAAAAGTAATATTTTTATAGACTGGTTATCTTATATTATATTAAATTTATTTATATTATGTTTTTAGTGAAACAAATATTGTACAAGATTTTAGAGCTGTAACACGTAAAAATAAATCTGCTGTGAATAGCGTTGCCACTCG